CATATATTGCAATAAAAGCATCATAGGCACACCAGTAGCATGTGTGAGGTCAAGTGGAAGGCAATGCATGATGCATCCGGTTTTGTCCATGGTATCATAGGCTTAATAAGAACTAGAAATAAGAGGGAAACACTGCACAGCCTACTACCATGCTAAGTCATGCCCCCCCCCCGATTAGCCAACGATCCACCCACCGTAGCCAATAACCATCCAGTCTGGCCACCTCCACTAGGAAGGGACGACAACCGAGCACAAGTAGTCAGGTTCCAACTATACTCACCCACACCCATCATGTATATCTACCTATTTTTAAAACTACACAACGTTTTAGCCTGAATAACTGTACTCGGGAGTTTGTTCCACTCATCCACAACTCTATTACCAAACCAGTGCTTTCCTATATCCTTCCTGAATCTGAATTTTTTCAACTTGAAACCATTGCTGCGAGTCCTGTCTTGGCTAGAAATTTTCAGCACGCTATTTACATCCCCTTTATTTATTCCCGCTTTCCATTTATACACCTCGATCATATCTCCCCTAATTCTACGCCTTTCGAGAGAGTGCAGATTCAGGGATCATCTTTGTCATCCTCCTCTGTACGTTTTCCAGAGCATTTATATCCATTCTGTAATACGGTGACCAGAACTGAGCAGCATAGTCTAAATGAGGCCTAACCAAGGATATATAGAGTTGAAGAACAACCTGAGGACTTCCATTATTTATACTTCTAGATATGAAGCCAAGAATTCTGTTCGCTTTATTGCGATCACTAATGCACTGTTGTCTTGGTTTCAGATTACTGCTAACCTGAACTCCTAAATCCTTTTCGCAATCAGTAGTATTAAGATCTACATTATTTAGTTTATGTAGCATGGTTATTTACCTGTCCAACATTTAGAACTTTGCATTTGTCAATATTAAACTGCATCTGATATTTCTCCGACCATTGCATCAGTCTATGCAAATCATCCTGGAGTGCTCTAGTGTCCTCATTAGAATGAAATGGACGGCCTATTTTGGTGTCATCAGCAAATTTGCTTATGTCACTATTTATTCCCTCATCTATGTCGTTTATGTAAATTGTGAACAACAACGGACCCAACACTGACCCCTGAGGAACACCGCTTGTGACGTGCCCTCATTCTGATTTCTCCCCATTTATGCAAACTCTCTGCTGCCTATTTGTCAGCCATGCCTCTACCCAGGAAAAAAATTATCCTCCTATTCCGTGTGCCTTAAGTTTCCTCAATAGCCTCTGATGTGGAACTCTATCGAAAGCCTTACTGAAGTCCATATACACAACATCATATTCATTGCCATGATCTACCTCCTCAAACACCTTAGTGAAAAAGTTAGTAAATTCGTAAGACAGGAACGCCCCTTTGTAAAACCTTGTTGAGAATCATTAATCAATCTGTGCCTGTCAAGATGGCTACGAATTGCTTCGCAACAATTGATTCCATAAATTTTCCCACTATGGAGGTAAGGCTTATTGGTCTACAGTTCAAAGCCAAGGACCTGTCACCTGCCTTGTAAATAGGTATTACATTTGCCATTTTCCACTTATCAAGCACTATGCCAGTTTGTAGTGATATGTTAAAAAGATTAGCCAAAGGTATGCTAAGTTCCTCTTTACATTCCTTTAACACCCTTGCAAACAGTTCATCAGGACCTGGGGATTTGTTAGGTTTTAGTTTCTTTATTTGTCTGAGGACCATGTCACTAGTTACCGCAATCGTGCATAGTTTATTATCATCCTGTTCTACATAATCTATTATTTCAGGAATATCGCTAGTATTTTCCTGGGTGAAAACTGAGAGGAAGTAGGTATTGAGAATTTCACACATATCCTTATCACTGGTCAGATCACTGTCAGTGATCTGACTAGAGTTACTCTTAAGTGGGCCAGTCTTGTCCCTAATCTTACTTCTGTATACCTGAAAGAACCCTTTTGGGTTAGTCTTTGAATCCGTTGCGACCTTAGCCTCATAATCCCTTTTTTGCTTTTCTTATTCCTTTCTTTATTTCTCTCTTTAATTGAATATATTGATTTCTTAACTGCCCATCCCCTCTTTTGACACGCCTATGCATGCTTCTCTTTTGACCAATGAGATGTTTTAATCTATTGTTCATCCATTTGGGATCATTTTTGTTAGATCTAATTTCCCTACTTGGAACAAAAGTTTGTCTGAGCAGCTAGAACTATGCTCTGAAAAACGTCATATTGGCAACCAAGATCACCTACCTGACCCATAGTCAGGACATCCCAATTTAGCCCACCCAGATAATTTTTCAGTCCCATGAAGTCGGCCAAGCGAAAATTTGGGACAGAGATTTGATTGCAGTTATCTGGGTAATTCCATGATATATTGAAACTAAGTGATTTGTGATCACTTTCCCCAAGTTCATCATTAACCTCAAGATTATTAATTAGTGAATCTTTGTTGGCAAGAACCAAGTCAAGCAGATTGGTCATGTCCCTATGTATCACACACGGGTAGTTGTGTGCTGTAAGTTTATATTTATGTTCTAGGAGTCGTGTCTTGAGATCACTGGCCGTCTCACTTACACAGTTTACCGCATCAACACAAGGAATGGTGAAGACTCCCGTAACCCGTTGAGTTACTAGATGTACTGCGAATGTTTCTCGATAAAACCACAGTCGTATCAATTTTGGCTTCATATAAAATGAGAAGAACTACGCCATAGACTTCTGTGTTCACCTTGGAGGCTTCCAGGCTGTACACACTGTGCCTTTCGACTGCAGTTTGTAACATGTGTTGGGGAACTTTAGTCTAAGAGCATAACTGTCGGAGATAGGTTAGGTTAGGTAAGGTTTGTCAGGAAACAGGACATATCGAAGATAAAGTGGCCTTCATCTTCAAGGAAATCAGTGCTGCAAACCCAATAATCTCTGAGGAAGATTCTGATCAGGACACCAAATTTGGTTTCTAGGTCATGATAAGAAATGAATGAGTCATCCTTATTGGTGGGTTTTCTGTGGACATTAAATTCGAGTGTGTTGACGTCTTTTATTAACATAACATCGTGGAATGGGAGAGACTGGCCTATTTCTTTTTCAAGGGTGACTACATGGAAGTTGCACACAGTTGACTCTATCTCTAAATTCGCCAAGAGTGAGACGGCGAGCTGCAACGAGTAAAATGCTGTCAACATATCTCAGCCAGGTGACGTTTAGAGGATTATTTTGGAGAAATGCTCAGTCTCAAGATCCTCCGTTGGAGGTTAGTTATTACTGCACAGAACGGTGACCCTTGGCCACGCCCAGTTTCTCTCTGAAGAAGTTGTCATCAAAGTTCAGTGAGGTAAAAAACTTCTTTGGGGAAAAAAAAGAGTGGTAACTCCATGTCAGATGTGATGACCCTGTGTACTAGTGTGATAAACTGGTTGGTGGATCCATCTCTGAATGAGGTCCACACCTCAGTTCGTTAGAGCAACCTGCCAGCAAGTGATTTTTTTTTACCTTATACAGCGGCACAAGTTACTTACTCGGAATCGTCAACTTACCCTACAGCTGGCCGGATGGACAATGTAGGTAATTTACAAGCTCTGTATAACTTCTTAAAAATGATCTTGAAGTGAAATGCTATGATTACAACTTGCATTGTTTCGTGTCATTTATTAACTTTTCAGTCTCTTCTAGCTAACGTTTTAATGACTATCACTAAGTGTAGATGGGGACTAAAGTATATAATACAATAAATGCATTATATCTCTCGCTGTAGGTATTCTAAGGACCTGGATATATTTCTGACTAACCATACCACAGGCGGGGATAGAACCCGCGATCAGAGAGCTTCAAAACTCCAGACCGATCGCGGATTCTATCCCCGCCCGTGGTATGCTTTGTTTGCAATCGTGTCATTACGATTTCGTGAGTCATATTTCTGACTATTATCTCGAAAGGCTTCTATTCGCGTGTCAGAATCGAAAGAAAAGTATATAATGTCAACAGACCGTTTTAACGAATAAATCTTAGCCATTGTATAAAGGTTTACATGGTTCAGACACTTCCTGGTGACTTGTGTATTTATGAAGGAGGTGAGTGTTTGGTCTGGTCTGCCAAGACTACCATTACTCATCCCGGGGAAGACCAGATACCTCATACTGTTGCTCTTCCTCATCCACTTAAATTTTTTTTTTTTTATCTTCCCCCATCTTGTTCTTTGTTCTTGTTGTTCCTTCTCTTCTTCCGTTTTCTTTTGGTTAATTTTGGTAGAGATTTATATTGTTCTCCCAGGAACATTATTTCTCTGTTTATTGCAAAGTAATGTTTTAATTTTTTTTGTGTGAGGTAAAAGAAGTAAAGGTTTTATGAGACACAATAAACTAAATCTAACCTGGGGATGAATATTATTATAAGAAATTGCTCTTCGTTTTAACAGGGAAGCGCCAAACCCGAAGGGGGCATAAGTCCCTGAGGGATTGGGATGCTCAAGCCAAGGAAAAGGAGAGTAGCTCTAATTCCTTGGATCAAGTAACCTTCCCACAACTCCCCCCCCCCCCCGTGATGGGTCTAAAGTTCGCAGAAATTATATTGGAAAACTTATATAATAGTGAATTTGATATTTTTTAAGAAACAGTTTTCCCGTTACTGTTATTTTTGTACTCATTGTAAAGTGCTAAATTCGTAGGGGTAATACAGAGCCTAGAGACTGGGAAGCACTCTGCGTTGTTACTGAGAGAAGGAAGGTGGCTCCAGTTCCTCGCATTCAGAGCCCTTCGCCGGTATCAAGGCGGTATGTACTCAGGTTTTACGTATTATGTAGTACTCACTTGGTATATATTACGATAATTTTTTTTAACGAGTATTATACACTGAAAGCAACAGTGTATGAACATTAATTGTCAATGTTTGTGCACGTAGAGTTGACTCCAATTTCTGTTTAGGTTTCAAGCATCCTTGATTAACAATGAATAACAGGATACACGCAGCCTTAATGACCCCTATATGTAGCTGATAGGCTTTAAACTCAAGTAACCAACCCATACACCTACCTTCTGATAGCATCCATGCCATAGGGCAGGTCATAGCCAGGGCATGACTTGCTGTCCCCTTGCTGGGCACGCCAGCTGACCAGTCCTCGTTCCTCCTTCGTTCCTAATAGTGAATAAGAACAGTAAATTCACGGGGGGAAAAGGTAAGCAATTGTTTTCAGAGAAATTTACAAATTAATTAAAAACACTAAAACGATTGTCTTTAGTAATATATGAAATTAGTCAAAGAACATTGTCTTCAACGGCATTTGAAATCATTTAAAAATATTGACATCATCAGAGCATGTATAAAGGCGAACTATGAAGAGAGTATTTGCAACATACGTAGGAATTACAATGTGCCATCCCAAACTCAGGAAAATTAAAATATACAAGAGGAAATGTATCATGAATTTTCACAGTTGAAAGGCAATGGAATTCATGGATGAACAGTTATATTGTAAAACAAAATTAAACTGGCATCTTCTGTATTTCACACAGGCTGGGGGTGACCATATTATCACAGAACAAATCATAATTTAACACCTTTACCGTTACACTAGTTTTCACATTTCTCTTCATACCCTTTCTGTCGCTTTTTTCCCCTCCCATCTTTGTTTTCCTCTACATATCCCCCCTTTCCCTTCTGTATTATTCCATACTTAACATGGTACTGTGCCTTACCCGGTATAGTGTTGTCGAGGAAGCAGCCTAACACACAGCCCAGGAAAATGGTGGTTTGCAACAGCACTAACAGCGTCTGGTCCAGTAGCGGCAGCCCTGTCTTGAGGCTCTCAGGGTTGGCCTTCACGTACTAGAAGTTAGTTTAATATGTTTATTATGCACCCCATACCCATCCTGTGGGCGGTAGTCAAAAGATTACAAAGGTACATAATGGGTCCAGGTACAGGACCCCACGTACTGGAAGAAAGCACTTTAAACATTGAGGTTTTTTTTAAATAAAGTTCTTTAAAACCTGAATGTTCTTCTACACTCAAAGGGTTTTTTTTCTAAGCCCCAACAGGCCTATAAACCCAGGATAATCAACAAAAGGAAGAAGTGTATCTTATTACCTGGAGTTTACCTGGAGAGGGTTTCGGGGGGTCAACGCCCCCGCGGCCCCGGTCTGAGACCAGTCCTCATGGTGGATCAGGGTCTGATCAACCAGGCTGTTACTGCTGGCTGCACGCAAGCGGCCTCTAGGTAACCATGAGTAGCGGGTGTCAGGAGACCTACCCATTCGTTTTAGTCTGCCAGCTCCCCTCCCTAGAGTCGAATCTGGTTATGTTATATTGGCCGCAGAAAACATTAAACAATAGTGTCAATAACACTTCATATCTTAAAAAAAGGGGGAAGCAAAATAAATTTTCATTGCTGATGCACCGAAAAATACACAACTCTGTATGTGTGTCCAATTAAAAACTCACATTCCGTTAGTGTATGCGCTGAAAAATGTACAATTCTCCTTGTATGTTTAAATATCGGTGGAAAAAGATACACCGTTTGGCGAATATATACGTATTCACTAAGTAATACACACCTTTCGGTGTGTATGTACTATGTGTGTGTGTGTGTGTGTGTGTGAGAGAGAGAGAGAGAAAAGAGAGAGAGAGAGAGAGAGAGAGAGAGAGAGAGAGAGAGAGAGAGAGAGAGAGAGAGAGAGAGAGAGAGAGAGAGAGAGAGAGTGAGAGAGACAGAGAGAAGAGAGACTTATCTAAGTAAATTAAGGTAAACAAAGAAATCTAATTTAGAATTATTAAGGCAAGAAATGTAGGAACTCATTTGACATATAATGTCCGTGCTGTTCCGTATTGTGAAAAATTATTGTTATTAGTAAATCACCTGCAGGAGGCTTACGGGGCATTACCTGAATTATTACCTGCAAGTAATTTGTGTGAGGTAAGTGGGACTTAGTCACAGTAGGTCACAGTACTGTCACTTCTTCGAATGCCCACTTCCTATCCACTTTCACAACTTTCACTGACATTAAATTAATGATTATACAATTAAATCAGCTACTCTGACACACTGAAGTTTTGCGGATTGTGGTATTCTGGTTTATTTGCTGGGAACAACGAATATAATTGGTAATAACACTTCTCATTTAATTAATGGAATACACTTAATGCTGATGGAACACGTCCTAACCTAACCCCTAGCAGCTACAGGCAGTGTCAGGCCCCCGGGCTACAGGTACTCTCAGGCCTCCGGGCTACAGGCACTGTCAGGTCCCTGGCCTACAGGCACTGTCAGGCCCCCAAGCTACAGGCACTGTCAAGCCCCGGGCTACAGGCACTGTCAGGCCCCCGGGCTACAGGCACTGTCAGATCCCCGGGCTACAGGCACTGTCAAGCCCCCGAGCTACAGGCATTGTCAGGCCCCCGGGCTACAGGCACTGTCAGGCCATCGGGCTACAGGCACTGTCAGGCCCCCGGGCTACAGGCACTGTCAGGCCCCCGAGCTACAGGCATTGTCAGGCCCCCGAGCTACAGGTACTGTCAAGCCCCCGGGCTACAGGCACTGTCAGGCCCCCGAGCTACAGGCACTGTCAGGCCCCCGAGCTACGGGCACTGTCAGGCCCCGAGCTACAGGCACTGTCAGGCCCCCGAGCTACAGGCACTGTCAGGCCCCCGAGCTACAGGCACTATCAGGCCCCCGAGCTACAGGCACTGTCAGGCCCCCGAGCTACAGGCACTGTCAAGCCCCCGGGCTACAGGCACTGTCAGGCCCCCGGGCTACAGGCACAGTCAAACCCCCGGGCTACAGGCACTGTCAAGCCCTCGAGGTACAGGCATTGTCAGGCCCCCGGGCTACAGGCACTGTCAGGCCCTCGAGCTACAGGCACTGTCAGGCCCCCGGGCTACAGGCACTGTCAGGCCCCCGAGCTACAGGCACTGTCAGGCCCCCGAGCTACAGGTACTGTCAAGCCCCCGAGCTACAGGCACTGTCAGTCCCCCGAGCTGCAGGCACTGTCAGGCCCCCGAGCTACAGGCACTGTCAAGCCCCGGGCTACAGGCACTGTCAGGCCCCCGGGCTACAGGCACTGTCAGGCCCCCGGGCTACAGGCACTATCAGGCCCCGAGCTACAGGCACTGTCAGGCCCCCGAGCTACAGACACTGTCAGGCCCCCGAGCTACAAGCACTGCAGGCTCCCGGCTACATGCACTGTCAGGCCCCGAGCTACAGAACTGTCAGGCCCCCGAGCTACAGACACTGTCGGCCTAAGCTACAGGCACTGTCAGGCCCCCGAGCTACAGGCACTGTCAGGCCCCGAGCTACAGGCACTGTCAGGCCCCGAGCTACAGGCACTGTCAGGCCCCCGAGCTACAGGCACTGTCAGGCCCCGAGCTACAGGCACTGTCAAGCCCCCGGGCTACGGGCACTGTCAGGCCCCGAGCTACGGGCACTGTCAGGCCCCCGAGCTACAGGCACTGTCAGGCCCCCGAGCTACAGGCACTGTCAGGCCCCCGAGCTACAGGCACTGTCATGGCCCCCGAGCTACAGGCACTGTCAGGCCCCCCGAGCTACAGGCACTGTCAGCCCCCGAGCTACAGGCACTGTCAGCCCCCGAGCTACAGCACTGTCAGGCCCCCGAGCTACAGGCACTGTAGGCCCCCGAGCTACAGGCACTGTCAGGGCCCCGAGCTACAGGCCACTGTCCCGCCCCGAGCTACAGGCACTGTCAGCCCCCGAGCTACAGGCACTGTCAGGCCCCCGAGCTACAGGCACTGTCAGGCCCCCGAGCTACAGGCACTGTCAGGCCCCCGAGCTACAGGCACTGTCAGGCCCCCGAGCTACAGGCACTGTCAGGCCCCCGAGCTACAGGCACTGTCAGGCCCCGAGCTACAGGCACTGTCAGGCCCCCGAGCTACAGGCACTGTCAGGCCCCCGAGCTACAGGCACTGTCAGGCCCCCGAGCTACAGGCACTGTCAGGCCCCCGAGCTACAGGCACTGTCAGGCCCCCGAGCTACAGGCACTGTCAGGCCTCAATAAATTACACAAAACATGTTTTGTGTAATTTATTGGAAACAAATTTCTCGAAAACATCAGTAAACTGTAAGTTGGAGGGCCCTGGAGGCCCTCCAACTGGTGAAGGCCCTCCAGCTGGTGGAGGCCCTCCAGCTGGTGGAGGCCCTCCAGCTGGTGGAGGCCCCCAGCTGGTGATTGCCCCCGCTGGTGGAGGCCCTCCAGCTGGTGGAGGCCCTCCAGCTGGTGGAGGCCCTCCAGCTGGTGGAGGCCCTCCAGCTGGTGGAGGCCCTCCAGCTGGCGGAGGCCCTCCAGTTGGTGGAGGCCCTCCAGCTGGCGGAGGCCCTCCAGTTGGTGGAGGCCCTCCAGCTGGTGGAGGCCCTTCAGCTGGCGGAGGTCCCTGGGGTGAAGCCCCTAAAGCCCTGGCCTCCGGCCCTGCACGCCTGTACACTAAGTGTATGAATGTACAGGTGTGGTATACAACCAACTTTGTAGCTAGAGTTTTTTTCTGAATCTACGATAAGGTGAGATATAAGAATGTGTAATCGTGAGTAAAATATTTGAGACGAGGCTTGTGCTGCAGTGAGTCTTTGATGGTGAACGTTAGTGTTGGATTCTCTTCCTTACCCTCAATTCCATCCAGGGAGGTATGTTGATGCCGGTGAAGGGGGTCTTGACCCCCTTCCAGGGAAGTATGTTGATGCCGGTGAGGGGGTCTTGACTCCCCTCCAGGGAGGCATGTTGATCTCGGTGATGGGGGAGTCTTGATACCTCCCCTCCAGAAGGGTATGTTGAGGCCTGTGAGGGGGTCTTGATCCCTTACTATTATGTACTGGAGTGCGATAAAATTAATGAATTCAGAGACAACTCAGAAATGTTCCAGAAATGTCAGAGTATTTTATTCACAGTGGTATATTACAAACCATTCTGGAAAAATACCCTGACTTTGCTCACTGTAAATAAAGCATTACCACTTTTTGTTCGTGATCATATTAATGTCTGCATAAATAACTCGTTACGATTGTGAACGAATGCAAACATGTAAATAGTTCATTACCGCTGTAACTTGTTCAGCTATCAAAACTTTGGGGTCCAGTCCCTGGACCAACTGCGTACCTCTGTAATCCTATGACTACCGCCACAGGATGGGTAAAGGGAGCATAATAAAGATATTAAACGATACCTGGAGTTGGTTTCGGGGGTCAGCGTCCCCGCTGCCCGGTCCTTGATCAAGCCTCGTGGTGGATTAGGGCCTGTTCAACCAGGCTACTACTGCTGGCCGCTAAGAAACTGACGTACGAACCACAGCCCGGCAGGTCAGGTATGACATTATTTACCTGTCCAGCTCCTTCTTGAAGACAGCCAGTGGTCTATAGGTAATCCCCCTTATGTATGTTGGGAGGCAGTTGATAAGTATTGATCCCCTGACATTTACTGTGTTGTTTCTTAGTGTACTCGTGGCGCCCCTGCTTGTCACTGGGGGAATGTTGCATCTCCTGCCGAATCTTTTGCTTTCGTAGGGAGCGATTTTCGTGTGCAGATTTGGGACTAGTTCCTCAAGAATTTTCCAAATGTATATTGTCATGTATCTTTCTCGCCTGCGTTCCAGGGAGTACAAATCAAGGGACTTCAACCGTTCCCAGAAATTTAGGTACTTTATCGTACATATACGTGTCGTGAAAGTTATCTGAATATTCTCAAGGTCTGCAATTTCGCCAGCCTTGAAAAGGGCCGTTAGTGTACAGCAATATTCCAGCCTAGAGAGAACAAGCGGTTTGAAGAGAATCATCATGGACTTGGCATCTCTAATTTTGAAGTTTCTCATTAGCCAGCCTATCATTTTCCTAGCAAATATGATAGATACATTGTTGTAATATTTGAAAGTGAGATTCTCTGACGTTATCATTACCAGGTTCTTCACATTAATTTTTCGCTCTATTGTGTGGTTGGAATTTGTTTTATACTCCGCTAGTCTTTATTTCCTCGAGTTTTCCACAGCGGAATAACTGAAATTTATCTTCATTGAGCTTCATATTGTTTTTAGCGACCCATTTAAAGATTTGGTTGATGTCCGCTTAGAGATGTGTAGTGTCTTCGATGGATGACACACATGCAAATACGGCTTACATCTGTCTGTGTCAGATATGAGGAAGAGTAATAGGATAGAGCGTTTACTGTTCCTACCTTGTGGACAAGTTTTCACGTAGCTGCTCTGACTTACTCTGTTTATATTACTTTTTGTGCTATACATTGTTAGGAAGTTATGATCTTATACTACATCTTTCTGTTATTCCCTTAAATCAACTCATTTTTGTGTCTATAACACCATGATCTCACTTGTCAACGGCTTTCGCAAAGTCTGTGTATACTACATCTGCATTTTGTTTTATCTCCAGAGCATTCAAGACCTTGTCATAGTGGTCCAGTAGCTGGGACAGGCAGAACCGACCTGCTCCAAACCCCTACTGCCCTGGGTTGTGTAACTGGTGGGTATCTAAATGGGTGGCGATCATGCTTCTTAGAACCTTCACAAAGATTTTTATGATGTAGGACGCTAGTGCTATCGGTCTGTAATTCTTTGCAATTGCTTTATTGCCACCTTTGTGGAGTGGGGCTATGTCTGTTGTTTTTAGTGATTTCCTTATGCTGGTCAGGAGCCCTGCGCATATATGTCTGTACCTCTGTTATGTTATGTTATGTTGATAATGTTATATTTCGTACCAGGTCATTATTACTAGTGAAAATAAGGTCGAGTTTATTTTCCAGCCTTGTTGGCTCCACTATTTGCTGACTTATTTTAAATTATATTGTAAAAATTAACTTTTTTATTTAATATGCGTGTAAATATACGAGTAATCATGTTAAAATAATAGTTGTTTTGTTGAAGAGGATCGGTTGTATAATATTTACCATGGCGGTCAACGATGTTGTTTTGGAACAATACCTTGGATGGAACAATACCTTGGCTCGAACAATACCTTGGTTGGAACAATACCTTGGCTGGAACAATACCTTGGATGGAACAATACCTTGGCTGGAACAATACCTTGGATGGAACAATACCTTGGCTGGAACAATACCTTGGATGGAACAATACCTTGGCTGGAACAATACCTTGGATGGAACAATACCTTGGCTGGTACAATTTGCAGTTAATTCACAAATTATATTTAAAATAGACAAAGTTACGGCCTGCCCTGTGGCAGAATCAAGTTAATACAGAGACAGGGTAATACACTGGAGCATTATATCTTAGACCGTCTTGGAGTGTACAAACATCCAACCTTCCAGAGACACCTCCTTACATACCCTACATAATATGACAAAACACCTAATTGTTCATGATATATGAAAATCATTGTTTTACCTCGAACTGATGGGTCAGCCGTAAGTTACTTTTATTCACGAGATCACGAGTTACAACGACTTCTCACCTTGGAGACAGAGAGACTGAAGAACAGAGTGAATCCCAAGACGAAGAGGTTCCGGCTGGAGTTCAAATCGACGAACTGAAGAGTGGACAAGCCGACAGAAGTGATAAGAGAGAACATGATCCAGTAGAGGCTAGCCACGATGGGCTCGGGGATGCTGGCACACAGAGCTCCGAACTTGCATACAGACCCAGCCACCAGCATCACCATGGCACTCATCTGAATCACTCGACGACTTCCCACCTGTCGTCAGTTACCAGTGTTAAAAGTTGCTTAAAGTTTGGCGTAAAGAATAAAAGACACACTGCTCTTATCTGCTAGTTGTTCCGGGGATTATCTGACCCACGGCCCGGTCTCCAACCAGACATCCCGGGCTGGAAAGGTAATGTTACAGGATTAAGAGCTATTAAGCTCAAAGAAAATTTAAAGTGTGTATACTGAATGTAAGCAAAAGTTTGTAAGATATAACTGTCACCTATAGAGTGCTTATGATACAGAAAGAATAAATCAATAATCCTGCCAGAGTTAAAAAAAAATTAACAAATTTCCATTTCACTATCACTGATAAATGATGATAAATGATGATAAATGATGATAAATGATGATAAATGATGATAAATGATGATAAATGGTAATCTTTATTTCTAAAAATGCTTTACAATTGGTACGGAAAATGTGATATTGCTGATATACTTCATAAAAACCTTTGTTTATGCAGAACATTCCGTGCAGCTTTAAAATAACTTACAACCACCAGCTGAATGTTTGCAATAACCATTTCTTGAAAATTTTAGCAAGACAATTCGTTATAATATTTTGTAGGTTATTAACATTGGTCAAATACAAATGCAGATAATCTAAATTTCGGTATTACTGCACAATAAACTGGAGGACCGAAGAGTACGTAACATCTCTGGCAAACCTCAGCCAATAATGTACTTAAAATTAACTCAGCTAATTCAAATTAAAAATTATATTAAGAAGATATAATTGTTGAGTTTAGCAGACTGGTAATAGTTACTTAAATTACATTACAAATATGATGGGAGAGTAAATGTATCGAATAATATATCAAAAGTGGAACAAGAAGAAAAGGGATAAAACTGGTTGAAAACAGCAGAGTTCAGGTATAGTATACCTGGAGTATACCTGGAGTATACCTGGAGTATACCAGGAGTATACCTGGAGTATACCTGGAGTATACCAGGAGTATACCTGGAGTATACCTGGAGTATACCTGGAGTATACCTGGAGTATACCTGGAGTATACCTGGAGTATACCTAGAGTATACCAGGAGTATACCTGGAGTATATCTGGAGTATACCTGGAGTATACCTGGAGTATACCTGGAGTATACCTGGAGTATACCTAGAGTATACCAGGAGTATAACTGGATTATACTTGGATTTTGCTTGGAGAGAGTTCCGGGGGTCAACGCCCCCGCGGCCCGGTCTGAGACCAGGCCTCATGGTGGATCAGGGCCTGATCAACCAGACTGTTACTGCTGACCTCATGTAATCCAAAGTACAAGGCACAACCCGGCTGGTCACGTACTGACTTTAGGTGCTTGTCCAGTGCCTGCTTGAAGACAGCCAGGGGTCTGTTGGTAATATCCATGATGTATGCTGGGAGGCAGTTGAACAGTCTTGGGCCCCTGATACTTATTGTATGGTCTCTTAACGTGCTGGTGACACCCCTGCTTTTCATTGGGGGGATGTTGCATCGTCTGCCGAGTCTTTTGCTTTCGTAAGGAGTGATTTTAGTATACAAGTTTGGTACTAATCCCTCTAGGATTTTCCAGGTGTACATAATCATGTATCTCTCCCGCCTGCGTTCCAGGGAATACAGGTTTAGGAACCTCAAGCGCTCCCAGTAACTGAGGTGTTTTATCTCCGTTAAGCGCGCCGTGAAGGTTCTCTGTACATTTTCTAGGTCAGCAATTTCACCTGCCTTGAAAGGTGCTGTTAGTGTGCAGCAATATTCCAGCCTAGATAGAACAAGTGACCTGAAGAGTGTCATCATGGGCTTGGCCTCCCTAGTTTTGAAGGTTCTCATTATCCATCCTGTCATTTTTCTAGCAGATGCGATTGATACAATGTTATGGTCCTTGAAGGTCCTTGCTGTCGAGATCACATTAAGGTAATGAGATGCTTTATAACTGTACCATTAAAGCGACTGGCAGATAAGGAACCATTGGAATCATCAAGTCGAGGATTCCAGATTTTAGAACCTTTTATGCCCACTGAGTTTTTACACAGGTTGCGTCGGACCCCCTGGGATATCAAAGAAGATTTTGTATCTTGTGTTATGCAGTATGAATTCTGTTGCAGCTGTCAGGGAAAGAGCTTCAGGGCAGGATTTATATTAGGATTGACTGTCCTGTATATATAGAATGCACAGTAGTATGAGTGAGTATTATGTTTACCTGGAGTTTACCTGGAGAGAGTTTCGGGGGTCAACCGAATAAGCATAAACTTTTGAAGAGTGGGGGAGTATGTTGTTTGTTGAATTATTATTGGTTGTAGGTGATTTGTTGTAATAGATACCCAGGCCCAAATACCAAGTTAGTACTGATTTGGGGACCTTTGTTATATGTGGGATGTTGATAATGAACTTTAAGTTGCGAGGTAATCACTCGCTTAGGCATTGGAACTTGGAATTTTGTCAGCTGAACTTGATCCTACAGCAGAGAAATAATCTTTTAGTATATTGGCTATTTCAGCAGGTTGGATATTAGGTTCATTGGGTTTAGTTAGGACAATGTCTTTGGTTTTGGTTACTTTTTGAGAGCTCAGGACTTGTAAGAGTTTCCAGGTCTTTTTCGTATCCCCTCTTATTTCGTTAAAGCTGCTAGCATAAGATAAGATTTTGTTCGGATTTTTAACCCTGGAGGGTTAGCCACCCAGGATAACCCATGAAAGTCAGTGCGTCATCGAGGACTGTCTAACTTATTTCCATTGTGGTCCTCAATCTTGTCCCCCAGGATGCGACCCACACCAGCCGACTAACATCCAGGTACCTATTTGCTGCTAGGTGAACAGGACAACAGGTGTAAGGAAACACGCCGAAATGCTTCCACTCCGCAGGGAATCGAACCCGGGCCCTCCGTGTGTGCAGCGAGAGCTTTAGCCACCAGGCCACCCAATACAATTATTTAGACTTCCTTATTAGTTTAGTAGGTACCGATGTATTTTTTTATTGTTATCGAATCATTAATCTCAATCTTGACGATGTTTCATGGATAGATTCTTTATCAGTGGACCTGAGGATGTTGTTAGTTAACCATGGACTATTTAGTCTTTGCTGTGATCTGTTTAGTTTTAATAAAAAAATGCACTGACCCGATTGCCAGTAAACTCTCTGTGCCAGTCAGTGTCACTTACTACTGTAATAAAGATATTTACTGATGTCTCATTGTGAGTTCATTACCTTTGTAAATTGTGAGTTCATTACCTCTGTAACTTGCTCAGCTATCAAAACTTTGGAGTCCAGTCCCTGGACCCATTATGTACCTCTGTAATCTTTTGACTACCGCCCACAGGATGGGTATGGGGCGCATAATAAACATATTAAACTACTACTGATGTCTTATAATGGAGACGAAATGAAATCTTACCCGTGTTTATTGTTTATTTATATATGTTTGTTATAAGGAAGGTTGGGTAGTGGTCAGTAGTATTGTCTGTGAATATCCCTGCTTTGAGAACTATTATACTGGTCCAGATATGGACATTTGAAGGTGAACTTATTTCAGAAATTCTTGTAGGCTTAGCTAAAGCCGGTATATTAGCAACCAATTATTCATATTGTTAAGGAAGTCAGCTACTTGTGGGTCTTCATAAGAACATAAGAACATAAGAATGTAGGAACACTGCAGAAGGCCTACTGGCCCATACGAGGCCAGATTTATGTTGAAGTCTCCAGCAAGTATTAGGCAATCTTTGTTAAGTGCTTGTTAATTATTAAGGTTTTAAGGCTGTCACTGAAGGTGAGAACATAAACCTGAGGTAACCTGTAGACTACTCCATCTCTTACTGGGATCTTCATAAATTTTTGGTTGTAAAATTACCAAATATATATTCACCATGTTCATCCCTAGTACATGTAGTTACTACATATTAATTCATTACAGCAGATTGCAGCACCTTCTCTCCTTGGATCAGGTCTGCAATAAAGGAGATACGTCTGCCGTGTCATGATTAAACCAGGTATCAACAATAATAAAACGTGTGTTAGCATGTTAACAATGTAGCAGTGCCAAGACGTCTATTGGATATTCTTGGTGTTGCCGAGAGCAGGTTTTGCTATACTTGTTGTGTAATAAAGTTATTAGCAGAAGAATGTTGATAATTGCTACGATAAAATAGGAGATTCCAATCGGGATCACTATCAGCATTAATTTAATGAACTGGGAAGTAGCATGTAACGAGAAGAATATGAGAAGTTTAGTGAGAAACAATGCTACAGTAAACAAGACAATGCTACAGTAAACAAGACAATACTAGAGTAAACAAGGCAATGCTACAGTAAACAAGACAATACTACAGTAAACAAGACAATACTACAGTAAACAAGACAATAAATATAGTAAACAAGACAATGCTACAGTAAACAAGACAATACTACAGTTTAAAAAGACAATGCTACAAATAAACAAGACAATACTAGAGTAAACAAGACAATACAAAAGTAAAAAGACAATGCTACAGTAAACAAACAATACAAAAGTAAACAAGACAATAATACAGTAAAAAAAAAACATATCATAAACAAGACAATACTACAGTAAACAAGACAATACTACAGTAAACAAGACAATGCTACAGTAAACAAGACAATACTACAGTAAACAAGACAATACTACAGTAAAAAAGACAATACTACAGTAAACAAGACAATACTAGAGTAAACAAGACAATGCTACAGTAAACAAGACAATGCTACAGTAAACAAGACAATGCTACAGTAAACAAGACAATACTAGAGTAAACAAGACAATGCTACAGTAAACAAGACAATACTACAGTAAACAAGACAATGCTACAGTAAACAAGACAATACTACAGTAAACAAGACAATACTACAGTAAACAAGACAATGCTACAGTAAACAAGACAATACTACAGTTAACAAACAATGCTACAGTAACAAGACAATACTAGGGAAACAAGACAATATACAAAAACAAGACAAAGCTACAGTAAAACAAGACAATACTACAGTTACAAGACATGCTACAGTAAAAAACAATACTGAGTAAAAAGACAATAAAATAAACAGACAAGCTACAGTAAAAAAGACAATACTACAGTAAACAGACATACTACAGTAAAAAGACAAACACATAAACAAGCAATACAGAAAAACAAACATACTACAGAAACAGAAATATACGTAAAGAAGACAATACTACAGTAAACAGACAATATACAGTAACAGACATACTACAGTAAAAGACAATCACAGTAACAAGACAATACTAAGTAACAGACAATGCTACAGTAAACAAGACATGCCAGTAACATACAATGACAGAAACAAGACAATATTAGGTAAACAAGCATGCTACAGTAAAAAGACAATACTACAGTAAATAACTATGCTACAGTAAACAAGACAATACTACAGTAAAAAAGACATCTACAGTAACAAGACTCTAGAGAAACAGACAATGCTACAGTAAACAAGACAATGCACAGTAAACAACATGCACACAACAAGAAATACTAGAGTAAAAAGAAATGTACAGTAAACAACATACTACTAAACAGACATGCTACAGTAACAGACAATACTACAGTAAAAACAATATACAGAACAAGACAATGCTACAGTAAACAAACAATACCAGTTAACAAACACTACAGAAACAAGAAATACAGAGTAAACAACAAACTAAGAAACAAGCAAGCACATAAACAAGACATCTAAGTTAACAAGCAATCTTTCAGTAAACAAGACATACAGAGTAAACAAGACAATACTACAGTAAACAAGACATGCTACAGTAAACAAACAATATTTATAAACAAGAAAACTACAGTAAAAAAACAATACTAGAGTAAACAAGACAATACTACAGTAAACAAAACAATAACAGTAAACAGACAATAACGAAACAGACATATACTAAACAAGACAATACTGCAGTAAAAAAGACAATACACAGTAAACAAGACAATACTGAGTAACAACATGCATAGTAAACAAGCAATGCTACAGTAACAAGACAATGCTACAGTAAACAAGACATACAAGTAACAAGACAATCTACAGTAAACAAGACAATACTAAGTAACAAGACAATGCTACATAACAACAATATCAGAAACAAACAATACACAGTAAACAAGACAAGCTACAGTAACAAGTCAATGCTACAGAAACAAGACAATGCACAGTAACAATACAATACTAAGTAAACGAGACAAACTACAGAAAAAGACATAACAGTAAAAATAAACTACGTAAACAAACAATACTACATAAACAAGACATAACGTAAACAAACAATACTACGTAACAATACAATATACGTAAACAAGCTTTCACGTAAACAATACTCAGTAACAAGACAATAACAGAACAATCATATACAGTAACAATCATACTACAGAAACATGCAATACACAGTAACAGACAATACACAGTAACAGAAATACTACAGAAACATGCAATACTACGAAACAAGACAATACTACATAAACAAGACATACTACAGTAAACATGCAATACTAAGTAACAAGACAATACTACAGAAAAAGACAACTACAGTAAACAAGACAATATACAGTAACAAGCAATACTACAGTAAAAGACAATACTACAGTAACAAACAATACTACAGTAAACAAGACAATACTCAGTAACAGCAATATACGTAAACAATACTACAGTAAACAAACAATACACAGTAAAAAACAATACTACAGTAAACAAGACAATACACATAAACAAGACAATACACAGTAAACAATACAATACACAGTAAAAAGACATACAAAAGTAACAAGACAAACTACAGTAAACATACAAATACAGTAAACATACAATACAAGTAAACAAGACAATACTACATAAACAAGACAAATACAAACAAGACAATACACGTAAAAATACTACATAAAAAAAACAATACTACAGAAACAATACAAACACAGTAAACAAACAATATACATAAAGACAATACAAAAGTAACAATACAATCCAAATAAACAGACAATACTACATAAAAAGACAAACTACAGTAAACATACAATACACATAAAAATACAATCTAATAAACAGACAATACTACAGTAAACAAAACTACAGTAAACAAGACAAACACAGAAACAATACATACACAGTAAACAAGCAATACTACAGTAAACATGCAATACTACAGTAAACAAGAAATACTACAGTAAACAAACAATACTAAGTAAACAATCAATACTCAGTAAACAGACATACTACATAACAAGACAATACTACAGAAACAAGCAAATGCAGTAACAGACATACTACAGTAAAAAGACATACTACGTAAACAAGACAATACACAGTAAACATCAATACTACAGTAACGACAAATACATAAACAAGACAATACACATAAACAAACAATACTACGTAAACAAGAATACTACAGTAAACATACTACAGTAAACAAGACAATACTACAGAAACAATACAATATACAGTAAAAGACAATATACAGACACAATACTACAGTAAACAATACAATGCACAGTAAACAATACCAGTAAAAAACAATGCTACAGTAAACAAGACAATACTACAGTAAACAATACTACAGTAAAGAATACAATACTACAGTAAACAAGACAATACTACAGTAAACAATACTACAGTAAACAAGACAATGCTACAGTAAACAATACAATACTACAGTAAACAAGACAATACTACAGTAAACAATAGTACAGTAAACAATACAATACTACAGTAAACAAGACAATACTACAGTAAACAATACTACAGTAAACAAGACAATACTACAGTAAACAAGACAATACTACAGTAAGCAATACTACAGTAAACAAGACAATACTACAGTAAACAAGACAATGCTACAGTAAACAAGACAATGCTACAGTAAACAATACAATACTACAGTAAACAAGACAATACTACAGTAAGCAATACTACAGTAAACAAGACAATACTACAGTAAACAAGACAATACTACAGTAAGCAATACTACAGTAAACAAGACAATACTACAGTAAACAAGACAATGCTACAGTAAACAAGACAATGCTACAGTAAACAAGACAATACTACAGTAAACAAGACAATACTACAGTAAGCAATACTACAGTAAACAAGACAATACTACAGTAAACAAGACAATACTACAGTAAACAAGACAATGCTACAGTAAACAATACAATACTACAGTAAACAATACTACAGTAAACAAGACAATGCTACAGTAAACAATACAATACTACAGTAAACAAGACAATACTACAGTAAGCAATACTACAGTAAACAAGACAATGCTACAGTAAACAATACTACAGTAAACAATACAATACTACAGTAAACAAGACAATACTACAGTAAACAAGACAATACTACAGTAAACAAGATAATACTACAGTAAACAGTACTACAATAAACAAGACAATACTACAATAAACAAAACAATAATACAATAATCAAGACAATACAACAATAAAGAACATCCTGTCAACAAGACAATACAACAATAAACAACATCCTGTCAACAAGACAATACAACAATAAACAACATCCTGTCAACAAGACAATACAACAATAAACAACATCTGCAACAAGGACAATACAACAATAAACAAACATCCTGTCAACAAGACAATACAACAATAAACAACATCCTGTCAACAAGACAATACAACAATAAACAAATCCTTCAACAAGACAATACAACAATAAACAACATCCTGTCAACAAGACAATACAACAATAAACAACATCATGTCAACAAGACAATACAACAATAAACAACATCCTGTCAACAAGACAATACAACAATAAACAACATCCTGTCAACAAGACAATACAACAATAAACAAACATCCTGTCAACAAGACAATACAACAATAAACAAACATACTGTCAACAAGACAATACAACAATAAACAACATCCTGGCAACAAGACAATACAACAATAAAGAACATCCTGTCAACAAGAAAAATTAACCTTACAAGACAGGCTTAATAATCCAGCCTGAATCCGGATCTCTGCTGAAGATGGTCTTAGATTTTCTAATATTCGGCTGTATTTTTACTTTTTTTTTAAATAAGTGAACGTATAATATCATATATAGCTGAAGACTAATGTACTGAAGTGGAGAAGTTTCCCAGTTCTATAATAGATTAAATATATCAGTGTAAACTTGTATATCAACAAGAGAGTACTAGCTTCACAACTGAACGGGCCCGGGTTCGATTTCCGGGCTAAGCGAGATTTGCGTGGGGAGGGGATGACCCACATCTCCTTACTCCTGCCTCCACTTTAGGTACCAAAGTGTTAGTCAGCTGTTGTGGGTGGCATCCTGGGAGATGGTTGAATGACTTGGATAGGACCGGACTTTGAAATGAGGTGAGGTAGAATAACAGCTCTCAGGTAGTGTAGTGAAGTGTGTAGAATAGTTCACTAACTCTGGTGACGGTGATGGCAGCCAGGTTCTCTGAGTAGGAGTTAGTGCCACTGCCGCTGCCCCAGAGCCCTGCCACCGTCACACCCACGCCCTCGATGCCCACACCACGGTTGATAGCATGTACCGGGGGTGCTGGCGTACCTGCACATACCAGACACGCTCAGAATTATTATTATTATTATTATTGTTAAATTCGAGGGGGAGGGGGAACCTTGAAAGGTCAGACATTGCATAGGGAACAGAAGGTAATTAAGTTTGATCCAAGAAAGGGAGAGACACCTATACTTCCGCGGATATATAAGTGGTCAGGAGTATCTATGCTCACTGAGATCAACAACTGGTGGAAGATGGAGCGAGACAAGACAGAAATAAGGAAATTCAACTTCGTCTCAAAATCGTACAAGTTTAAATAAGAAGTTAGAGAAGTGAAACAAACTAAATTCTAAGTGATTCCTCGTGATGGAGGAAAGGAAATAAGCCCCCAAAAAAACAATAATAAAAAAATGGTAATTACTCTGTTAGTGGATCCGTGGACACCAATGACTGGTCATTCTCTGTTTTCAATATCATTTTTTTACTAAGATGCGTCAGAAGAAATTTTAATATTTATCCCGACAAATAAAATATGATAATTTAGTAAGATAATGTGTGTGTGTGTTAGTAACCAGTTGTAAAAGGCACTTGTCGACAGACATTTGACCTATTGTGTGTGTGTGTACTCACCTAATTGTACTCACCTAATTGTGGTTGCAGGGGTCGAGACTCAGCTCCTGGCCCCGCCTCTTCACTGATCGCTACTGGGTCCTCTCTCTCTCTGCTTCCTGAGCTTTGTCATACCTCTTCTTAAAACTATGTATGGTTCCTGCCTCCACTACTTCACTTGCTAGGCTATTCCACTTGCTGACAACTCTATGACTGAAGAAATACTTCCTAACGTCCCTGCGACTCGTCTGAGTCTTCAGCTTCCAGTTGTGACCCCATATCCCTGTGTCCCCTCTCTGGAACATCCTATCTCTGTCCACCTTGTCTATTCCCCGCAGTATCTTGTATGTCGTTATCATGTCTCCCCTGACCCTTCTGTCCTCCAGTGTCGTCAGTCAGATTTCCCTTAACTTTTCCTCGTACGACATTCCCTTGAGCTCTGGGACTAGCCTTGTTGCAAACCTTTGTACTTTCTCTAACTTCTTGACGTGCTTGACCAGGTGTGGGTTCCAGACTGGTGCTGCATACTCCAGTATGGGCCTAACATACACAGTGTACAGTGTCTTGAACGATTCCTTATTAAGATATCGGAACGCTATTCTCAGGTTTGCCAGGCGCCCGTATGCTGCAGCAGTTATTTGGTTGATGTGTGCCTCCGGTGATGTGCTCGGTGTTATGGTCACCCCAAGGTCTTTCTCCCTGAGTGAGGTCTGTATCTTTGTCCACCTGCCTATACTCTGTCTGCGGTTTCTTTCCCCCCCCCAATTTTCATGACTTTGCATTTGGCTGGATTAAATTTGAAAGCCATTACTGGCCCACATGTCAGCCGTCCAGTCCTTTGCAGCCCTGCCTCTCCTTGTTCGATTTTTTTCTTCCTCAATTTCACTCATCTCGAAAGGGACTTTTCAGAGTCTTTTCCTTTCCTTTTCATGTTTCTAAAAAAAAAAATACCATTTTCTAGAACGCCCCCTGTGGCCCCCCGCTCGTACGGGGCCCCCACTGTGATCCCTCTTCGCGTCCATGCCTTGTTCCCCCCCTGCAGGTTTTCCCCTGACCCATTGCAGTGCCCTCCCTTTTTAAATGCCCCTGACCCTCCACTTTCCCCACTAATCTCTTGGGGGAACGTGCCAAAGGCCTTCCTGCAGTCTGGGAAAAAGCAATCACCCACCCCTCTCTCTCTGTCTTCTTTACCTTGTGTGGTGTGTTGTGGTTGTGTGTGGTGTGTGTGTGTTGGTGTGTGTGTGTGTGTGTGGTGTGGTATGTGGGGGTGTGTTGGTGTGGTGGTGTGTACTCCCCTTTTTTTGTATCCCTTTTTTGAGGTTGGGGGGGTCGAGTCCGAGCTCCGGGCCCCCCGCTTCTTCACTGATCGCTACTAGTCACTCTCCCTGACCGTGAGCTTTATATACCTCTCTTAAAGCATGTATGGATCCTGCCCCCACTACATCGTTTCCCCCCAAACTTTCCACTTACTGACTACTCTGGGCTGAAGAAATACTTCCAAACACCCGGGGTTTCATCGTGCTTACTTCAACTTGTCCCCTTGTTACTGTGTCCAATCTCGGGAACATCCTGTCTTTGTCCACCTTGTCAATTCCTCTCATTTTTTGTATGTCGTTATCATTCCCCCCTATCTCTCCTGTCCTCCAGTGTCGTCAGGTTATTCCTTTTTAAACCTCTCCCGTGGACATCCTCTTAGTTTTGGGACTAGTCTTGTTGAAAAACCTTTCCACTTTCTCAGTTTCTTCACGTGCTTGGGGGTGTGGGTTCCAAAAAACTGGTCCCGCCATACCCCAAATATGGGCCTAACTACAGGGTGTACGGGGTTCCCCGAATGAATTCCCTTATTAATGTGGGAATGCTGTTCTGGGTTTGCCAGGCGCCCATAGCTGCAGAGTTTTTGGTTATGTGCGCTCGGGAGATTGCCTGGTGTTATACTCACCCCAAGATCTTTTTTCCTTAGTGGGGTTTTTATCTCGGCCCCCTAACTGTATTTTCCGTCTGCGGTCTTCTTCCCCTTCCCCCAATCTTCATACTTTCATTTGGGTGGGATTGAACCCAGGACCAAATTGCTGGACCGGGGTCTGCCCTTTCCAGACCCCTTTTTTCTGCCGGGTCTTCGATCGAGTGAATTTTCTCATAAACTCACGTTTCTGCAAACGGGGGACACCTCAGAGTCAATTCCTTTCCCGTCAGTCGTCACAAATCCCAGAAACGCACTGGTCCTAGGACTGCCCCCTGGGGGGATCCCGCTGGTCCAGTGCCCACCTGACCCCCTCGCCACGACCTGACTCGCGCGTCTTCCTGACAAGTTTTCCCCTATCCATTGTAGTCCCTTTCCCTGTTATCCTGCTTGGTCCCCCATTTTTGCACCAATCTCTTTTTGGGGAACTGTGTCAAACCCCTTTTTACAGCCAAAAAAATGCAATCCACCCCCCCCTCTCTCTTGTTTACTGCTGTAAAACCCAGCATGAACCCCAATTTTTGTACACAGGTTTTCCCCCGCCCTAAAAACCAGTTGGCTGCTGTTGATGGATCGTTCCTTTCTAGGTTTCCACCATCTTCCCTGAAATCTTCCCTGATTTTGCATCTTACATGTCAGTGAATGGTCTTATTTTAATGCTCATGCTGTCTCCTTTTTTAAAGTTTGGGGATACATTTGCTGTTTCCATGCCTCAGGAATCCCCCTTTTCGATAATTATTGAATATTGTTGTTGGGGGTACACAACCCCTCTGCTCCCTCCAAAATACCCAGGGGGAATGTTATCTGGCCCCATTCCCTTTTGAGGTATCTAGCTCACTCAAAAAACCTTTTAAATTTTCCTGGTTGTGTGCACTGTGTCCAGCACTTGGGGGTGGCCCCACCTCTCCCTTCGGGAGTCCCTTCTGTCTTCTCTGTGAACACTTCTTTGATTCTTGTTGGTTTTTCACATACTTCACGGTATTTCTTGTTGTCTCTCCCCCTTCCTTTCCCTTTACCTGATTCCTGGCCTTGACTTTTTGTTTTCCCCCTGATGTGGCTGTAAAAACATTTTTTGGGTAAATTTTTTGGCTTTCGTGCTATGTCATTTTCATATTGTTTTGGGCCCCCCCTTCTTTCTGTGCATATTCGTTTCTGGCTCTACGTGGTCTCCTTTTTCTCCTGGGTCCCTTGCCTTCTATATTTTTCCTTCCCTAGCACACTTGTTTTTGCCTCCCTGCACCTTTGGGAAAAACCGGGGCTCATCCTGGTTTTTTCTTATTCCTTTCCCCTTGGGTCAAACCCCCACCTCCTTGCTTTTTGGTTGCTACATATCCATCTTCATAACGGCTTTGCCAGTTCTCGTCCCACTGAACCCCTTTCGGGTTTCCCATTCCTGTGTAGTCCCCTTTCTTTAGTTTGGTTCTTTCGCCTGGCCTTCCTGCTGTGTGGTGTGGTGTGTGGGTGTTGTGTGTGGTGGTGTGTGTGTGGTGTGTGGGGGTTGTGTTTGTGTGGTGTGTGGTGTGTGTGTGTGTGTTGGTGATTGTGGGGGTTTATGTGTGTGTGTATGTTAAACCATTTGGGGTTTTGCAGGGGTCGAGTCATAGCTCCTGGTCCCCTCTTCATGACTGCTACTAGGCCCTCTCTCTCCCCTGCTCCATGAGTTATCATCCCTCGCCTTAAAACATTTTGGGTTTCCCGCCCCCACTATTTTCACTTTCTGGGCATTCCCGGCTTGACTACTCTAGCGAAGAAATATTTCCTAAAATCCCTTGTTTCATCTGATCTCAATTTCCCCAATTGTACCTCTTGGTCGGTCCCATCTCTGAACATCCCGTCTTTGTCCACCTCGTCTTTTTCCGCGCAGTTTTTTTAAAGTCTTTATAGTCTTCCCTCCCCCCGGGCCCCAGTGTCGTCGGGCCGTTTTCCCTAAACCCTTTCTTCGTAGACAATCCCCGTAGCCGGGATAGTCTTTTTGCAAACCTTTGCACTTTCTCTAATTTCTTGACGGTTTGACTGGGTGTGGATTCCCAAACTGTGCTCTACTCCAGTAGGGGCCCCTGACGAAAAGGGTATAAGAGTCTGAATGACCCCTTACTGAGGTATCGAACCTATCCGTATTTGGGCCAGGCGCCCGTACTGCAGCTTTTATCTGATTGATGTGCCCCTTTGGGGGAAATGATCGGGTTATACTCCCCCCCAGACTTTTTCCTTGATGAGTTTGAGACTTTGGCCTCAAACTAAAATTGTGTCGCGGTCTTCTTTGCCCTTCCCAATCTTCATGATTTGCATTTGGGGGGGTTAAACTCAAGGGACCAGTTGCGGGACCGGGCTTGTAGCCTTCCAGGTCCTTTGTAGTCCTGCCTACCTCATCCGATTTGTTTTTTTCCTTTAAAACTTCACATCGTCCGCAAACAAACATTCTATCTATCCCTTCCGTTATGTCTTTCAATATCCAAAACAGCACGGGTCCTAGGACTCC